CCAAAGTGACTCAAATCAATTCTGTTCCCAGCTTGCCAGTCGCATGGCCCCACCCAACCACAAAAGGAGAGGCTGGCTGAGCAGCACAATCCTAGGTGTGCCTGAAGGTAGAGAGCTGGCAATGTGTGGTGACTGCATTAATGACTGCAGTGAGGTAACACTTATGGAGCATTCATGATGTGCCAGGCACTGTTCTAAGTGCATGTATTACTTATTTATGCTCACAACTCTCCCATGAAGTAGGTTATATGAACTCCATTCTTTGGATCAGGGAACCAAGGCACAGTGAGGTAAAGTAACTTGGCCAAGGTTACACGAAATTAGGAGTGGTGCTGGGCAGGTGGATGGACTCCAGAGCCCATGCCTTTAACCTCTCAGCTATTAATACACTGCCCATAACGATGTTTTCCCCAGTCCAGGACAAAATGAGAAAAATAAGGACTTTTTCATAATGATAAATTTAAAGAACTGTCCTTTATTACAAGATGTTCTTTCTCCTTTTCTTAAATGTCCTTTCCTTTAGGAATTAATCGTGATAAATGGCAGGTGCCTCTTGACTCTTCTTATTAGGAAAAGCAAAAGATTGGCAACCCCACATTAGTTCCTTTTCATAGTTATTTTGTCAATTTTAATTGACCAAAAATACGAAAGTCTATAATCACTAGTTTTGAGTTTGTTTGTTTGAGCACTAGGCTTTGATTCAACCAAATTTTGGTCATTTTATGACGAATACTGTTCTAAGCTCTATTTGTCGAGCAGTGTACCAGATGGTTTTATGTACGTTATTTCATTGCATTCTATGCTATGCTGCTCCTTGTAAGAAGATTAAAATATGCATTTTTCTTTAACCTAAAACTAACTGAAGCAGGAAAGATCTGGAATGTGACAGGGTCCAAAAAGATAGCTAATGTATCCACAGTAATTCCAGTTATTCTCTGCAAAAAGTTATCAGAGAACAAACACAAGCCCATCAATAAGCGTCTTACTAAACCTAATCATCATACCTCTCTCAGTCAGGAATCTTTTCTAAGATGTAGTGATTCTCTCAGGTTAAAGACCAAAAGAGCAACAAGTTGACTTCTCTAGCTGGGCCCTGGAACTCTGCCAGGGATGTTTTCCTGACAAGGACTCTGAGCAAAACTCACTGGCCAAGAGCCCAGGCCTTCAAGCCAAACAGCAGCTTAGTTAAAAGGGACAGAGGGTTTAGACATAAGCAAGCTGTTCTGAGCTCTAACACAAAAATATTTATTAACTTCCCTTGGAAAATTTAGATGTGCAGGAGAAATGCTCAATGTGAACAGGTTCTAAAGGATAAAATTTAAGCAAAATTAAGCCTTGGGCAATAAAAGATGCTTCAAATAACATTGAGTAACAAGAATATGCATGTTGTTTTAAGAAGACATCTTAATGATTTTCTTTTTTAACAAAAGGCAGAAGGAAGAAAGGAAGAGAGGAAGAAAGAAGAAAAAAAAGAAAGGAAAAAAATTCTCAAAAAGGTTTAGATATCTTTGTAGCATTTCATAGAATATTTAAATTATAAGTCCATTTGGCTAGTCTCTTCCCTCTTGGAAGATTAACAGTATTCCTCGTTACCGAACAAGTAAGTACCAACTGTGGAAATGATCAAAAGACAGGCAGTGTGCTCTGTCATCACAGGGATGAAAGGCTCTCCCCTCATTTTTAAACTCCAGATTCTATGTGGAAATAGAACAATTTTTTTAAAAGATGCCAAAAAGAAAAAAAAAGTTTGTGAATTTAAAATCCATTTTAGAAAGATTCACGAACTCATTAACTTGAAAAGTGATTACTAAACCTCATTTAAGGTAATGATTCTAAGAGTTTGAGGCATGCATTCGCATCCAATGTTTATAAATCCTGGTCCCTGTTTGAAAAATGGCCATTCATGCTCATTGTCATTTACCAGGGGAGTCAAAAAAACATTTTGATAACCCTTCGGTTAACAACCTTACGAACAGCCTTCAGAAAATTGATTTCCATACTATGTTGCCAAGGGGAATTTTCAAACCTTTCTATTCCATAATTAAGAAGCAGCCTATTTTTAGAGGGTTTGGTTAATAGTTCCAATACAGAAGGTAGAGAAGTACCATAGAGGCTCACTGATGGCTGCAACAGCGGGTCCTCCAGGTGGGGGCATAATGAGGACAGAACTACCAAGGACTCATGGGGCCCTTCAGCAAGATGCAAAAAGAAAGAGCAAGGGCTGCAGCTCCCTAATCAGAGATGGCAGCAAAGGAAAACCCTTCCTTATTAAGACCTATGCCGAGGAATAAGCATGTCTGGTAGTGGCCAAATCCCCACTTAGTACAAGAAACAAGAATGAGCCAGCTGCACCAGGAATGTACAAAAGTACGCAGAGCAACAGAAGAAGAGGTGCCAGACATGTAAAACAAGCCATCGGTGTTGACGAGGAAAACAAATATATTATTCATTTCCAAATACTGACAATATGTACAGGCCTAGGATCAATTCCATAAAACCTATTGCAAAAAATTATCCTTTTTTATAGGTGTTTTCTATGCTGCTGCTAAATATTTTAAAACCATACAAAATGATACACTACAACCCTTATGAGTAATTCACCTACAAAAACTGAGATAATGCTCATTCGGCTTAAAGGAATGAAGACTGTCTGAGCCCTGCTGGCTCACCGAACAGGTGTGTTGCACACATGGTGAGAAAATTCAAGCAAGTGGAGGGGTTTTGGTGACTTCTGCTATATAACAATATCTCTATAGGACTAGGCTCTGGAAACCAAGGACAGCTGCTCCTGCTTTTATTCATATTAACCTCTTTGTCTCTGGATGGCAACCCTAATTCTCACTAAGCCAAAGAAGAACCAATAAAATGGCAAAGAGCTGTGAAAGGCTTACTGCCTCTAATGTCAAGAGCACGGCAAGGCAAGGCAAGGACTGCGTACTCATCTAATCTAAGAGTGAATCATAGGACGTCATTTGGTAAACCTGGCCTCTAATTCATTCCCACGTTGCATGGCCTTCAGAAACGTACATAAACTCATTGTGCAATTATCCCAGGTTAAAAAAAAAAAAAGGGAAGAACGTTCTACCTCTCTGTTATGTAAGTGTTTTGTGTGACTACCTGGACAAAAGGACTCCTCAAAAAGAAAATAAAATGCAAAATGAGCCTCACATAGTACTCACATTGGTACATAGACGATCATCAGTCTACAAGTATTGACACTACATGAATGAAGACAGCTCCTCGTGTAACACAGGTGAGGAGGGGGAAATAGAGTATATTCTAGCCACAGGCAGGGTCTTGTAAAAACCAAATGTGCACAGAAAAACGTTAATGTGTTTGGACAACAGTGAGAAGATGTTAGTAGGTAGGAGACATGTGTGTCAAATGGGGAGAGCAGGGGTGGGCGACTGAATGCAGAGGTGGGTCTGAGTCATGCTGTTTACAATCCTGAATATCGCTCCAAGTATTGGGGCTTTGTCTTGAAAGTTTTAGAAATGTAACTCGTAGGTGGCAGGTAGGTAAGAGTGACTACTTAGATAGAAAGACTGTTTAGGAGGCTATTGTACTAGAGTGGGCAAAAGCAGAGAGGATTCAAGCTAAGCGTGTCAGCAGTATCAAGGAAGTAAGTACAAGGAGTGGCAAAGAGGAGAGCAAAGGAAAACATCCTGGCTTCCATGACTGTGGCTGTAAGGGTTACTGGAGAAAGAACAAAGCTAGGAGATCATGTCTTCAATCCAGAATACTTTGCATGTGAGATCATGTCTTCAGTCAGGAATACTTTGTATGCAAGGCTTAGTTTCCTCATTCATAAAATGAGAATAAATAATAAATAATCAAACTGGTTCTTGGAGTTGTTGTGAGGATTAAATGATATGATAAACACAAAGAACATAATAGAGGTTGAATACCCCTTATCCAAAATGCTTGGGACCAGAAGTGTTTTGGATTTTAGGGTTGTTTTTTCTTTTTGGATTTTGGAATGTTTGCATTATACTTACTATGCAGCATTCCTAATCTAAAAATCCAAAATCCAATGAGCATTTCCTGTGAGTATCATGTTGGTGCTGAAAACACTTCAGATTTTAGAGCATTTTGGAGTTTGGGTTTTTGGATTAGGGATGCTCAACCTATATACTATTATCAATATTTATGACTAGAGATGCGGAAATATGGACCCAGAGAGAGAATCTGGGGCAGAAGAGAAACATTTGGGAGTCATAGGTAAGTAATAAGCTGTGGTTGGAAGTGTTAGGAGGTATAAGCTTGATCGTGCAGAGCAATGGCACCCCCTAACTCTAGTCCAGAACCCTGGTGTACCCTAATATGTAGAACATGGGGCATTAAGATAGAAGGAAGCCAGCAAGACAACCTTGAAGGATTAATCCAAATATGGGAATCTTGAGAAAATGGTATTATAGAAAAAATAAGCAGTGAAGAGCCAAAAGTGCCAATTCTGCCCAGAAGTTGGTGAGATGAAAACCAGAATGAGCAGATTTAACACTTAGGAGGTCATGGGTACCCTCAGCAAAAGCAATTCCAGTGGAAGAGAGGGCTGAAAACCAGATCACGGTTTATTTAGAAATGCTGCATTTCCGTGACATGTTTTGATACTAGATAACCCTTTAATTGGGGAATTCATTCTGTAGGGTTGAAACACAGATTTTACTCTTTCCCAGGAGCTACAAATAAATTTTTTTTTCTTTAATTTGGAAAACAGAGGAACTTAGGAATCAGATTGAGAGAACAGCTGTCAGGATTCATTGTTGTATAGTTTTTAAGGAGAAAGAACATCAGGTTTTTGGGAAGAGTAGAAAGACAATAGGAACAAAATACAGAACAGCACAAACAAAAGTAGAGAACTTTTTATAATAATGCAGCAAATAATCTAGCCTAGTGCTGCCAGGAGAACAAAGGTGAGTGATTTTGAGACTCTACACCCACCTGTCAAGGGCCATTAAAGACGTACGTTTGCAAGCACTTTATAATGTAACTGCTCTTACCTTTCTTTTGATATCAGTGAACTGGGAAAACATTAAAGACCAATAAAACGACAGCTCCAGGATGTAATAGTAGTGAAGGTCAGTTGTGAGTGGCTGAGGATGAAAGAAAAAAGGGCAAGATTAACAGTTAATAGAGAACTGAAATCTGTATCCCAAACATCTCAAGCTCAGTACTCAAAAGTAATAACATGGTCTTACACCTGCACAGATACAGTTCCTGCCCTATTCTCTCTGTAGGTAATGGGACTTTGAGGATGTCTCTCAACCACATTACTTTTATTTCATTTCCAACCTAAAAAGCATTGATCAGCATGAACATTTGGGACCCAATTCATTATTCAGTTTAACAATAGCATTTATGATCCTTTGACATGAGTATCTGCAAGATTCCTTAGGCTACTTGAAAAAAAATGCTAATATATACAAAGAATAACCCTGGACAACTGTTGTGAGATTCCACAGTGTACTATAGGGACAGTGAAGGCAGGTGATAGGAACTGGATGGAATACTATATGGATCACTGAGGCATGGTTTCAAGTTTCACATTAATCAGAAAGCTTTTTTTGTCATTAGGAAATGTTCAATACATTGCAAATATCAAAAAGAATGATTCAAAAATATTTATCAAAAAATCAGAAGGAGAGGGAGGCTGCTAAGAGACACCAGATTAGGCACCCAGCCAGGAAATCTTAGATCTCCACAGCTTAGATAGTATAAAACTTGGGCCTTAGTGTATTTGTTAAATGGGGGTAGATACCTACTTTAACTGCCTTGGAGGCTCAAGGTTGGGGAGAGGCTCAGAGAAGCTGTGAAAGTCAGGAGTATTTATTTTGCCCATAAATCCATAAAAACAAAAGTTTAAAACCATTTTCAATGAGTCACTTTTGTTTTATTGAGTTGTGATGTAATGTCTTGCTTTATCAAAATAGAAAATGTTTGAAACTCATCACACAAGTCCACGCCCCTATGTGGAAATACTATAAATAGTAAGTACAATTGGAATCTTAATGCTTTGTACACCAATAGGTACATAATGAACAACTATCATGAGAAACTGGCACTCAAACTACCATGGGAATAAGGAAAACAGTGGTCCCTCTCATGGATCTTTGACAACTAAACACCCAATGGGACAGGACACTCTACAACCAGCAATCCTAAACTCCAAGTGACCATGAGCACTGCTATGGACTTAAAGTCTGTGTCCCCCTATAATATTTATATGTTGAAGCCTAATCCCCAATGTGATGGTATTTGGAGGCTTTGGGGGTGATTACGTCAGGAGAGCAGAGCCTTCATCAATGGGATTAGCACCCTTATAAGAAGGGACATGATTTCTTCTGATGGTATTACTGTTACAGCAGCCTGTACTAAGACAAGCATCAACGTTTTTTGTTTTTTTTTTTTTTAAATCAATCTCAGTATCTCCCTAGCAAGAATATATTTCCCACTGAATTGTCCTTTTAAAACAGGAAGGCATTAACAATGAAGGATAGGTATTCAGACGAGACATATGGCAGCAATGAAGTTTAGAAAACAGGGCCCTGGTGCAGGACCCTTTGAGCCAAGGGTAAATTTCAGTTTTAATGAGATTCTTTAACTCCTGGCATCACCACCTGGGAAAATTGCCCAGAGGAATTATCAGGGCAAGTTAGATCACATCTGGAAACTGCAAAGTTTTTTCCTCCACATACGCACACCCAAAGCAGCTAATTTTATTAGCATATGGTCTTCATCAAGGATGACCACCGTTCCCACAAGAGATCATAAATTTGTCCTGCATTTCAGGAGCTATATGCCGGATCATATAGTAGAAGACGATCTTGATTTGAATCCTCACATATGGCACCTTTCCTTACATACTACAGATGCTTCCTATTTTTAAACACAGCTGTATCTACCTGACTCTCAAACTTTCACGTTGAATCTGTAGTGCTGTCTATGAAACAGTCTGCAGCTACTGTTTAGGCCACAGTCCTAGCAGCTCATTTTCTCAGAAATAAGCAATTTCTCAGCTCCAGCCATAAACGTGAAAGTTATTTTGGATTACATTACTAGAAAGAAGAATAGGTATTACATTTCATATAGCATTTGTCTCAAAATCGCTCATGTGACAGAATTTACCTCATAAGTGCGGTACATTACAGCAGCTGCCATGCCAGCATTCCAGTTTAGATTTCTAGAAGCCTTTAATGTACTTTTATAAATAGAAATTTAGATTTACATGGATTGCGCCACTCAGTCTACGATTACAGGATACAAAGAGAGTCTTAAATGACAACGTTCCAAGTATTTAAGATAGTAAAACAGCAGCTGGGCCTGAGAATTGCAATCGTATAAAGTAAGTGATTGGTTTCAATACTGCTTTAGTCGCGATCAGATATCCCCTGGACACTCAGTTCTCTCTCACCATGTTCTGTTGCTTGTTTACATTCTTTTCTAATCTGAATAAACTACTTGAAAGAGACGGAAATGCAAACTGGAATTCCATTTCAGTGTGTCCTTCGCCTTGGACTTGCCCAAGGAGTATCCATTGCCAGTCTTCACCACCCGCCTCCATGACATTGTGCAACAGAGAAGACAGGGGGCATTAACCTTATGCACACCAAAAAAGGCCAATGCCTCTAAAAGACAACCCAAAAGAACCCCAGTCAAACTCAAAAATCCAAGTTGCTTGTTATAACGCATATCTCTTTATCACCGAAATACTTAGCTGCATTTACTTCTCTTATATAACATATCCCAATTGAACAAGAAATTATAGCTATTTCCCAGCTAGAAATTTCTAGAAAAATCCCAGCTTTGATATTCAAATACAAACTGATCTGAGGACCATAACAACACATGCTAATATTATTGAATTCATGTAAAGATGCAAAGGAATGTCAGTGGGCAAAGATCTAAATGCTCCCTTGCTGGGATATAATTTTAATCTCATTTTCAGTGATGGTTTTTTTTTAGCTGCAGAAATAATCCATCCATGTGTAATGCCACAAACCCATTTTTCTGCGCTCGAGGAAATGGTGCTTGATTTATATATTTAGAGGCTGCTCTTAAGCCACAAAGTGAACTGAACTCAGCGTGCCTGATCAGTTCCACGTTCGAGTTTTCCCACTTGCTGTTGAGACAGGCCTGTGCTGCCAACAGGTCTTCAGATTTTCCTCAGGGATTAGAAGCAGCTCTGCTGTTATGTACAGGAATTATCCACCTGTTGAACTGATCACATCCCATTCTCCAGCAATGTACTTTCCAAGTTTACTCCATCTGCTGAAGCAATCGGCTTTGATTCTGAACTTCACTGAGAACATACAAGCTACTATCCTTACTAGGTCACGTACACATTGGTCAGCAGGAATGGGGCCAAAAAGCAAGGTGGCTGCCCAGTCTGTTGGGACCCACCTGCAACCATGAAAGTGACTTCGGGAAGATACTTGGTGTGTGTAAAAACCCAGACAGTAATGCCTCCTTACCTGATAGGGGTAGTTGTACCAGCAGTGCTTTGTATTCCACAACCAGGGAGTCTGAAAAAAAAAATGACAAACGAACATATCTTACATGTTTTGGAACACAGATAAGAGGATAAGAGAGGTTTATGATAGGCTCTTGCACCGATATTTTGGGATTTCAATAATTTACCTATGTGAGAATTGAAGGACTTAAAAACAACTAGGAATAGGTTATTAAAGCAACTAGTATCACACCATATATTCTCTGGGTAATCTCCTAAATTCAGCTGGTAGTGTTTCAGGCTGATTCTGGGATGGAGTCCTGGCTAGTGTTTTTTATATTTTGCTGGTCACCTGGACATATTCCTGCTATATAACCAGCCCCAACAGCAGAGCCCTGCAGGGGTCTCACAGAAACCAGATGCAAATCATCCACCTCACTGTTTATTGATCAATAAACAATGCTGAAAACTACCCTGAAACTCCTTAGACTCAATGTTTACAAAGCAACAATATTCATGCCTTCCCCAGGGTTCCACGACATGCAGGTACATTTATTTCAGTAGAACACCTTAGACCACCCCTCGCAGCACATGTCACCACACCCCGACCTGCGGTTAATTTCTTTTTATGACAAAACAATCATTCTTAATTTGAGGGCAATTACTTACCTTACAACAAATAATCCGACAAAATATCTAAGTGTACACACAGATTCCAAACATTTGTGATCACCCGGGAGGGACTGGTTTAGATTTAAACAGATTGCTGAATCATCCAATAATACTGGCACAAACTTTCTCATATATATTTTTTTAACTGTGTAATTCTTTTGCATCTCTTATCTACAGCTACCAGCACTTTCTGGTATATATCTATACACACCTGATACACATATGTGTATTTCTTATGGTTAATTCCTCAACATCCTCATCAGCCCTGTACCGTAGGGACGAGGGTGCTTAGCTTCATGCAACTGGTATATGTTGAGCCCTCCCTATGTCCCATGCACTTTTAAAGGTATATCCTAGACATATTAACTCATATGTATAATATCTTATACATATTAACTCATTTAATCTATACAGTAACTACTAGTATTTTATAGATGGGTAAATGGAGACCCTGAGTCTGTAAATAACTGCCTATAAATAACTGTTAAATAGCTAGGCAGTGTCAGGGTTGAAAATCAAACGCAGACTGGTCCCAAACCCAAACATAACCACTGTTCACCCCGTCCCTGAGTCTGATAAAATCTAACCAGACCTCAGTGGAGGGAGCCAGACCGAAGTCAAAAGCCACGCCATCCCCTCAACCTAAAAGTGCCCCAGAATCTTTATATTTCCCTTTCATTCAAGTATTTAATACTATTCATTTTCTCCCCTTTTGGTTTGGCCATTTGCCACCCATTCAAAACCATCCACATCATGTGCTCTCCCTGCACGTGACTTCATGCGTGTCTGGGTTGTAGGTGTGTCTGTCTCTTCCGCTTCTCTCAAATACTTTGGAGTCTTCAAAAGTTTGTGATTGTATTTTTATAGTTATATAAACAATATGTGTCCATTGAGGAAGATATATAAAACATAAAACAGATAAAAATAATTTAAGTTCTCATCATCATTAACATTTTGATGTATAGCTCATTTTTTTCTATGTAATATAAATACAGACAGATTTATTTTAAGCACCCATATAGATACATGTTTTTACAATGTGGGTATGAGGCACCAAAATCTATTTTAAAGTACAGTACCAATGTTAGTTATTACCTTTCTCTCTGATAAAGTTGCCTGTTACCTCAACTGAAAGTCCCTGAGGGGAGGTTATATCATTTGCACGTTTACCCCACCAGCATCTACTCCCGAGTTGACAGTTCAGCATTCATTTGCTGAATGCCAATAAAAAGGAATATAGAAAAAAAAATGCAAGGCCTGGTAGTTTTTCTGGATTTATCAGTCCTGAGCCCATAGGGCAGGTATGCGCCTGCCCCTAAAGATGCAGCCGTTATCTCTTTCACTGTGGCCACCCCTTCCAGGGACTGGCAGGAGAGCAAAGGTATAACTCTCAGTGACCCAGAAAAATCCGTAATTCAGAGCTTCCCTTCCTCTGCGAGCTTCTTGGCTGATTAGTTTTCTTCTAAAACCCAGGCTTTTCCCTGGGTGCAGATGTGCATCACCTAGACCTGCTTTCATTATGTGCCTGACACCTGACTGACCTGCATAAACAGACGAGGATCTGCCCCTCCCTGGCTCCTGCCCAACTGAGGCAAGAGCAAAGGCCTAGACACTGAGACTGATGGAGCCACCAGGGCCCTAGCTCAGCTTGCGAGCTTGTCACACATTTTAATAGGAAGTTCTCTCACATACGTGTTCACATATACCATCACTGTGGCAGCAATGGATATTAACATCACCTTCTATAGACACAATACATCTTTCTAGGATCTCATGTTATGCTCCTAAAACACTGTGAGACAGAACAAATCTCTTTCCCAATTTACAGATGAGAACACTGAAGTTCATGAGAAGGTTTCTTTTTTTTTTTTTT